TTCCATGGAACTTTTTCCTTTTTGGAGCAGGAGTTGCACATTCTTAGGGCATTTTTAGAGAGGGTAAAGGCCCACACGTGCTCGTTTTCTTTCCCCCCAAGCCAAGGAATTAAGTGGCCTGGAAGACAGGCCAGCTCATTATGGGCTTTGGCCCAGTTTGCAGGGGAAAGGGAGAGAAAGAACAAGCTGCTTTGAGCGTTTTCCCCCACTTAACGCTTCGAACAGGACACGTCCACGTGGACCTGCGGGACACGGGGTTACCAAAGACGGAAGAGAACGGTTAAGTCCCTTGCAGACCACACAGACAGGATGAGTCTGTTGACGAGCTGGCTGTGATCATGAGAACTGGCTGAGACGATGGTTTGTAACACTTGCTAATACTTCCAAAACCACAGTCGGAAGACAGGGTACACCTGACAGTCAGTCACGTGGCCCTCGCTCCCGGGACGGAAGCGGCCGCCTCTGACCCGAGGAACCCCGAGGACGGTCCCAGGGGCGGGACCCCTGAGGGCCAGGGCACCCACCGAGGGCAGGATCTGGGACTGCGAGATGATGCTGTTGGGCAGGCTGTTCTGTCTGCTCTCAGTCGTGACCTCGGCCCACGTCACCTGGAAGCCGGTCCTGGGCTGCAGGAGGTGGGCCTTGGCCATTGTCCAGGAGAAGTGCCCCGTGATGTTCACGTCGTGGACCACGAAGGAGGCAGACAGGTTCTCGGGCTTGGCGGGACCCCTGGAATGTACGTGACCTACACCAGCAGGAAGAGGGAGACCAGGGTTAGGACCGGACAGCGGTGGGACACGGCCGTGTCACCGGCCTCCTGGGGATTTCTGGCAGCCACTCTCGGGGGGGGGGGTGGAGGCCATGCGTCTTCCGTCGTGAGCCCAGGGTGGGGCAGGAGCCTCGACCGGCGCCTTTGTGCTAAGTCCTTCCAGGCCGGAGTTCTGCTTTGGAGATGGAAGGAATTTTGCGATCTGGCAGGACTGGGCCCTTTCTTACAGCACAGGGGTGACTGCAGTGAGAAGGGTCAATATGAAAGCTGCCACAGGTTTCTAGGATTCAGGGGACTGCATTTGAGAGAGTTGTCCCAGTGTAGGAAAGGGGTTTTGGAAGATCCAGACAGGGTAGGGTGTGGGGTGCTGTTGGAACGTCTGAAGATAACTCCCCTGGTAAGGGGTGGGATAAAAATGACATAATTTACATGAAATGTGCACAAGCAGTAGACACATTTGGCTTCATTTCTAGATAGTAGTGCCAGGGAAGGACCTTTCCAGTGCTGCTGGAATCATGCCTTCACACGACACTACCTGCCACCTTGCAGTTTAGAAAGGGGGGGGTGCCTTTGTTCTGTAAGTAAGTACGTAAAAAACAAACCTTTGCTTACCAGAGGGGAAGGGGGCGAGGGATAAATTAGGAGTTTGGGGTTCACAGATGCTACCTACTATATATTAAAATAGATAAACAACAAGGTCCTACTGTACAGCACAGGGAACTATACTCAGTATCTAATATAATAGGTAAAAACCTATAATAAGAAAGAATATGAAAAGAAATACATGTGTAATTCAGTCACTATGCTGTACACCTGGAACTAACCCAACACTGTAAACCAACTATACTTCAATTTAAAATGTTTAAAAACGGGGGGTGGTACTTTTAGTTTTAAGGGTCCTGTGAAAGGAGGTTTGGGAACAATCTCAGTGGCCAGCATCACAGACGCCCTCCTGGGGGCTGGGGGGAAACTGACCTGCTTCTCCGGGGCAGCTCACGTGCTTGTGGTTTTTCGCCTTGAGAGCGGAGCACGGCGGAGTCATAAAGAAAGCGGTTTCTGCCTTCAAGCGGCCCTTCGGCCGCGCTGGTTGGACGGTCACCTTGTATTTGCAGGAAAATGACAGATCTTGGAGAATCATGTAATTTTCCTGGAGCAAGAGAGAGGGAGAATACGCTAGCACGAACTCTCATGGGAGGAAATCGTATTCCAACAAGGTGGTTTTCCTGCTACGGACTGTGCAGTGTGGCTTCTGTAGAAAGTGCAGGGGAGGCAGTGGCCCTGCCTGGATGAGTTACAGCTGTGACACGCTCCCACGGGGTGGGACACAGCCTCCCCAGAAGAACAGGGCCGCGGTGATGCCACATCCGAGCAGCCAACCAACAGCCGTCACACCAGTGTTCGGGACTTGGCAGCAGCGGGGGCAGTGGTGTAAAACTGGAAATACAAACCTAGCTTTTTCTAATATAAAAAAGCTAACGTGGTGGGGAGGGTCTAGCTCAGTGATAGAGTGTGTGCTTAGTATGCACAGGGTCCTGGGTTCAATCCTCGGTGCTCCATTAGAAAAAAACAAGAACGCTAACTCAGACTCCTCTGAGACACAGGCTCAGGTCTACGATTTTCCTTAAGAAAATGAAGTTAAGAAAATGAAGATACTCTTTAGCAGTGTGTGTTTCCTCCCCTTCTTGGAGTGCTGTGATTGCTTCCGGCCGGAACAGTGATTAAACAGAATTACGAAAGCCAGACTCAACCTCGGAGGAGTAAGAGGCTCAGGATGTAACACTACACTAACAGGGAAAGGTGACGTTTAGACTCGGAACAAGCTCGTAACAAGGTTTCTCCCTCGGGGCCTGCTGGGTTCCGCGTCTCCACTGCGGCGTAAGTTACCAGGGCTCCGCGGACACGTGCGAGAGCTGCAGGCGGAACATGTTTGGGACCCTTGGGGAGAAGGGTCCCTGCCAGACAGCACCGTGGGTGAGGGGAGAGCGTGAGAGCAGAGTGAAAACAGAAGGGGAGCCACGTCCTTCCCTGAGCGCTCGAGGCGGGGGCGGGGGGGCACACACGGCCTGGCAGCATTCGTGCCAAGTGACCCGGAGGCAGCCCCAGCCTCTTTCCTTCAGCACTTCGTATGGGACTACACTGGGAGCCAGAGGGAGCCTCTCAGGACCCGCCTCGCAGGTATTTCAGGGGCCCTCGCGCCGTGGACGCGCCATCGCGGCCTGAACGTGAATTAAGTGGGTCTAAGCGCCGTTTAAAAATGGAAACAGGCAAGTTCCGAGCCCTGAGCTGGGTGCTCTTTGCGGATTCTGATTCTTATTTCTACCTGACACGTTACGTACACTCAGTAAATGGTTATTGTCATCTTCGAGCTCCTGAAGATATAAGCCCGGGGTTGGCCAGCCCGGTGACAATAAGCTGGATTCCTCACGGTTCCCCGGCCGCACCGTCTGCCTGCAGAATGGTTACTGAGCCCTGCCGCCGCTGCTTATTCCTTCCTCGGCTTTCCAAGTGGGTTTCCCTTCTGGAAAAGGTTTCTTTCCTTCGTTTTTTCTAACCAAAGGGCACAAACTCTTGGAAGAGCTTAAGGATTTCAGGAGTTAAGTCTGGTGACCACCTGTGGGGACAGGTCAAACCCAGCACTAGGCTGTGATTCTGCAAACCCGGGGATCTGTTTTAGCTGCCTGCTTAGATGATCAGATACGATTCTAAAAACACTGTACTGGGTGCTTTAGTACAGAAGGTAAACTGCCTTGTTAAATATCACACATCAATATTTCGTACCCTGGGGACCATGTCTTTAGACGGTTTCTACTGTGTGATCTATTACACAGGCATTGCTGTCACGGACAGCGGGTACGCCCTCTGAAACATTTTCTGTTGGTTTGTTGATTCTGCGCCATGACTTCTGCATTACCCCAAAATACTTGGAATAATGTCTTGAGTCATCCTGACAGTTACTGGCCCGAAGGATTTTAATGGACCTTAAAGTCGGTGTGTGGTGTACAGGACAGGCCATAAATTTCCCTACCTGGATGAGTGGGCGGGAGTCAGGGACGTAGCAAAGCAAGATGCTCAGTGACTGTCATACAGAAATTCACTGAGGAAATGAGACGTTAGGCCCAGTACCAGGTCAGAATTCAGAAAGTAATTCAGAGCTCTTGTGCAATTAAGCTGGAACACACAGAGACTGGAAGCACGAGCCCTGAGCCCTGGCAGTCCCCCTGCAGCACTGTGAAGGGGCAGAGGGGTGAGTGGCCGTGTGACCTCTGTCTCCTGGTGTCACCTAGTCACCTGTCCCACAGCCACATGGTGAGAACGGCGGACCCACTGGACATGGAGTTCACACCTCTTTTCGTCCAGTTTTACACCCAGATCCAGTGAGTCTCAGTGACACTCAAGCATCACGGCCACCCCTCACCTGGGTCGTGCCCGAGGACGCCTCCAGCCCGGCGGATGCGTTGTGGGCGCAGACTTCTGGAAACCACTGCACGTGATACCGACTGACACCGGGATCTGTATCGTCAAGACAAAGCAAAAAGAACAGTCTGCAAGACTTTCCACGGAGCCCCACGTTCTGAGAACACAAGAGAACACAAGGAAGAACCACCCTGTGCGTGATCTAAAAATGCACACGTGGACCTGAGGACACGGGCCTCACAAAATCTGATCACTGGTTCATTATTAAAAATGAAGTCGGGTATGGTTGCTGGCAGGGAAGGGAATGAGAAGGGGTAAATTGGGCGTTTGGGATTTGCAGATACAAACTACTATATATAAAACAGATAAACAAGGTCCTACTGTAGAGCACAGAGAACTACATTCAGTATCTCGTAGTAACTAACCTACAATGAAAAAGAATCTGAAAAGGAATATATGTATGTCTGTGGGTGACTGAAACTTGCTGTATACCAGAAATTGACAGAACATTGTAAGCTGACTACCTCAAAAAAAATTTCAAAGAATGAAGTCAGGGAAAAAGTAATGTGCTGTCACAGGAAAACTGCACTGAAATAAGAGAACCAGATTAAAAAAATGAGTAAAGTCATAGCACAGTGACTCCAGAGAGGTGTTGAGAACAGCCTAGCCACGGCGTCCACAGTAAGACAGTCCCCGAAGGGTGACACTGAGCGGCTGTTCTCTGACTTCCTGGACTGCAAGACAGAATCCTCACATGTCTCTGGATGCTACACGTTTCTGATAAAGCTGGTTGAGAGGCTCTTGAATCCAGGCAAGAACAAAAGCATTGCCCTCAGCACGAAGATTGCGCTGTGCTCCGTCTGGAGCCCTGCGGAGAGCAAGACTCCACTCAGACTGAAGACACAGGGCCAACAGCCCCCTCCCCCCCGCCTTACACAAGTGCCTCCCTGCGTTTCCGCGTGTGGGATCCCTCCTGAAATGAGACCTGCTTTCCAAGCCAGGCGAGAACACAGACCCCTTAACCATGTTCACTTGCTGCTGGAGCAGCGTGTTTTCTGTCCATCTCTCTTCTGGGCAACCGAGTGTGGGAAAGGAGGTCTGGGCCGTCCTGGGTCTATTAATCACCCAGGGTGTCCCCGGGGCGTGAAAGGCAGCGCCCCTTGGGTGATTAGCATCTTGTCCCGAACGCTCACGCCAAGCGTTTGATGGAGGATTTCAGAGGGGAAAACGCTTTGATTAAATGGGGTAGGTCTGGTGGGAACTTGCTCTGAGCACTTTGGAACAAGAAAAAAAGAACTTTCATTCTGAGAAAATAAACAGATACCAAGCGGGCAGCAGGGGTGGTTAAAAGAGGAACCCCCTGATTTGAGGTTTTCACTTTGTACAGAGCAGACATCAAGGGGTTTTTGTTTTCTCTGGAAAAGAATTACACGTGATACATTAAGTGTAAGTCAGTCAATGAGTGCATTCAGACCCCTTCTTTCAACAAGGGTGCTGTTCTAGGCATCGCAGCGAAATCTCCCAGAAGCAGCTGTTCCGGTCGATCTGAAACACTCAGGGGGGTGGGACAAATGATAAAGAAAGTGCGTGAGTACGATAGGCGGGGGATTGGATAAACACAGAAGGCGAGAGCAGGACGCGTCCTGACGGAGGGTGACAGCTTTAAATGAAGTGGCCGGCCTGGCTCGCGGAGGAGCTGACCTTTGAGGACAGACTGAAAGGAGGGTGGCCGTGGGGGTGGTCAGCGCAGAGCACCCTGGGCGGGGCCGTCCAACAAACTGCCCGTGATGACCGGATCTTCTGTACGTGGCGCCCCCAGCCACGTGGGCCTAGAAAGCCACGGACATAGCGCTAGTGCACCTGAAAAATCCTATTCTTAAACTTAATTCATTTAAATCAATTTAAAAGTAAACTTAAGAGTGGCTAGTGGCCACCGTCTGGGGCAGCACAGTTCTAGCCCCAGGGAGGGGCGGGCGCTGAGCCGGGTGAGGGCGGGCCTGACTCTCCTGAGTGGAGAGCGGTCGGGGGTGGAGTCCAGTGTGCTTTCCTGCGACTCTATGATGGTACAGCTGATGCCCATGGCTCGGGGCATCCTGACAGGCCCCCACCTACTTTACAGAGTGATGCGGTTTTCCCCAGAGGAGCCATGGCCCTGGGGCCCCATCCGCTGCTCGGCTCCCAGGGCCGCCCAGCCCAGGGTCACGCCCTCGTCTTCTCCTCCTGCCAACAGCTCCCCATTTCTGCGTCTACCTGGGCTACTGCCTGGAAGGGCAGGTGCCCCCAACTTAAAACACGTAGGGGCTTTTCAAACTCAAGGTTCCTAAAACTACACCCTTGGCTTCTGCCCTCCCGTTGCTCCCCATCGTTTCAGCTTGCCTTTGATTGAATCGTGCCTTTGTGTTCTCGTCTGTCTGTGATGTTCTGACATCCCAGGCCACGCTGGCCCTGGCAGGCTGCCCTCTAAGGGTAGCCAGTCCCTAGAGTAAACCGCTTACCTGCATATTTTTCCTGCACAAACCAGCTGGTCCAGAGACCACACCCCAGCACCTGCCCTGGGGGCCCTCACTCTCCAGACCACTGTCCCCCTGCTCCCGCCACCCAGGGCCGGGTGCCAGGCACACAGACAACCCCTTGCCTGCCTGCTCCTCCCCACAGGAAGCACAGCAAAGCTCCGGACCACAGCTCCCCTGCCTCCTGACCAGCCCTGGGCTTCCCCGCGTGGCCCGTGTGCTGGGATGGATCTTCCTCTTGGGAACTGTCAGGAGCAAACTGTCTTTCCAATGACTGACCGTTGTCTCTTGCTCTGCTGCCTTCACCAAACCCGAATGACAGTAACACCAGCAGCTGAGAACACGCTGCAGGTGAACAAGCTGCCTTGTCAGGGGTCCTGCACAGACTGCTTTCAGATGCGCACACAGGCCACTGTCTTCCAAGCTTCAGCAAACACTGGCCTGCGCTTCGCACGGAGGTCTCTGCAATGAGCATTATTCACAGAGGTTATGGTTTATAAAATCCCCGTGGACCCCGAATTAGCAAATTCTGGATTGCTGCTTCTTGGGGACATGCTGGCTTAGATTCCTGGGAGCTTCTGGTCCCCAACTTTTGTCAGCTATGTTTCTGGGTTTTTGTTTTTTAAGCTTATACATGTTTCTTATAAATTCATAATTGTAATATTTCTTTGCTTAAAAACCTCTAGCTGAAAACATTTTGGGGAGCAGGGCTGTCAGTTTCTTTAGTGTTCAGCCTCGCACTAATAATGCCTGCCCTGGAGTTTCTTATCTGTCGTCATCTCAAAAACCACACCTTTACCCACTTTGCCACCTTTCCAGAGCTTCATCACCAGGACCTAACAGGCAGCCTTGTGTATAAATCAGCGACTTTTCTCTCCCTTTTTCTGGGTGCACCACGTTATTGCTTCCTTTACAGTGTACTCAGAGCCCACAGCCCCCTAACTCATCCCTGAACAGACAGGATGTAGCAACGTCCGTTCACTGGACAGCACAGTGCAGCCCTTCTGGACTGTTCTCAGGGCCAGTCTAACCAGAAAAGATCTCCAGCAAAAAGCAAGAAAAGGAAACGGAACAGACCAAAAGCCCATGGCACTAAACAGACCATGCAAAGGACACGCTTGCGGCATGAGAGCTGAAAGAAGAAAGCAGCGCCTCCAACTTCCAGCGGGACTGTGGATGTGCGGTGACTCCACGTTGTCACCACCCTGCACGGGCATCCCCACTGAGGACCACAGGAGCTCCCCCACGGTTGGTCTGGGGTTACAAACAAACCTTAGTGAGAAGACAGATCTTCAAGTAGAGAATCGTGAGGGGCAGGATCCACTGTAGCCCCTTTCACTTCAACATCAGTAGCATAATACTCATCCAACTAAACCAAAAACCTTTTGCACAGCAAAGGAAACCACAAACAAAACCAAAAGACAGCCTACAGACCGGGAGAAAATATTTGCGAACAGCTCAAATACTTCAGTATCAAAACCCAAACCACCCAATTGAACAATGGGTTTAGATCTAAACTGACATTTCTCCAAAGAAGACGTGCAGGTGGCCAGTACGCCCACGAGAAGACGCTCAACATCACTAATCATTAGGGAAACGCAAATCCAAAAAATCCAAACTCCCGTGAGGTATCACCTCACAGCGGTCAGAAGGGCCATTATCAAAAAGTCCCACAAATATTAAGTGCTGGAGAGGGTGTGGAGGAAAGGGAGCCCTCTGGTGGGAGCGCAGGTGGGTGCAGCCACTGTGCCGAGCCGTATGGAGGTTCCTCCAAAAACTAAACAGACTTACCGTATGACCCAGCGGTGCCACTCCTGGGCGTATACCTGGGGGAAAGTAACCTGAAGAGATGCCTGCACCCCACTGTTCACAGCAGCACTCTGTACACTAGCCAAGACCTGGAAGCAGCCTCAATGCCCACGGACAGAGAAATGGATGAAGAAGTCCGTTTATTTGGACGCACACACTATGACTCGGCCATAAGGAAGAACAAAATAATGCCATTCGCAGCAGCACAGGTTACTATACGCAGCGAAGTCAGAAAGAGAAAGACAAATACCATATGGTATCACTTACCCCTGGAATTTTAAGAAAATGATACAAATGAACTTATTTACAAAACAGAAATAGATTCACAGATATAGAAAACCAGCTTTTGGTTACCAAAGGAGAGAGGGTGTGGGAGGGATAAAGTAGGAGTTTGGGATGAACAGATACACACCACTATACACAGAACAGAACAGATAAGCAACAAGGACCTGCTGTCCAGCACAGGGAACTGTATTTACTATCTTGTAATAACCTGTAATGGAAAAGAATCTGAAAATACATACACACACACACACACGTGTATGTATAACTGAATCACTTTGCTGTACACCTGAAACTAACACATTTAAATCAACTCTACTTCAATTGAAAAGTAAGAATTAAATAAAACCGGTAGCATAATTTTCATCTGTTACCTCTAAGCCAGTCCTCACCGTTTGGTGCAAAGAAATGAGATTGAAGTGGTTCCAGTGGC